CCCCCCCCCCCCACTCAGCCTATGGTCGGGGCCAGTGGCTAAATAAGTCCCCTCCTGCGGGGAGGGGGCTGGCTCCAAGCACAGACTGAGCAGTGGGGGCTGGGTCCTGCCCCCACCCCCACCTGGCAGCTGGAACGGCGAGCGGTAAGCGAACGGGCCAGGCAGCAGCCTGTCATGGCTTCCCGGAGCACAAGCCCCTTCCTGACGGGGGCTGCTCTGTGGGGCTGGCCAAGCTGCCCCAGAGCACAGTAGCACTACAGGGGACCTGCAGGGCTCTGGCCCATTCAGGACCCTGGTGTTGCCACTCGCAGCCCGCCGCAGCTCTGCCAGCCCCGCAGCACAGCGCCCCTGCCAGGAAGGGGCTCGTGCTCCCACACATTGACAGGGGCTGCTGCCCCCAACAAGGGCCCTGCCACCTCCCATGGCAGTGGCGGAGAGAGGGGGCGGCCAGACAGGGCTCCTGGGCTGGGCAGGAAGCATGGTGGTGAGGGCAGGCAGACCCGGCTGCCAGTGGAGGTGCAGGGCCCCTGGGTGGGGGAAGGGAGCGCGGCAGCAAGGGTGGGCAAACTCGGCTCGGTAGAGGGAAGACTAACTCTTCTCCCTGCTCCGCTCTGCCTCAGAGGCCATGGTGCCTGCTGCTGTAGCAGCGAAGGGGGAGCACCCAGCAGACCCGCTCCCAGCAGATGCTACTTGGTTCCCTGCCAATAGAATAGGGAGAGGGGGGAATTAAACCCTCCCTAGCCAGATTCCTACCCCTGCCGGTCCCTGCTCTGGCTGGGGAGCAGAGGGGTAGGCCCAGCGTGGCTGGGCTGGGGCAGGGAGCCCAGCCCAGGCAGCATGCAGAGATGCTGGTGGTCTGGGACAGACATTGCTGGGTTTAACCTAAACCAGGCAAGGGGTCTGGGACAGACATTGCATAAACCAGTTTGAACCAAATCCGTTACGTCTGATAATTCAACCAGGTTCATTTCAAATTGGTTTCAGCCATTTTGAAACTGGTTTATATGCACTGAATGTCTCTTCTGTTACAGGTTTAAACCAGTTTCTGATCACTTAAACTGGTTTATGTGTAATTTCTGTCCCTAGCTGTGGAGTCAACACTACTGCAGCAGGGTCAGGCTGGATCTGTGCTCCAGGCTGCAGCAACAGAGACTGCTGGCAAGAAGCAAAACTAAGGGGGAGTGTGGCAGCAGAGAGGGGGAGATGGGGAGCAGTGGGGGCTTGAGTGACAGGGGGTGCA